CTAAAAATTTTTGAATAATAAACTTTAAAATCATATGTAAAAATGTATACATCTCAACGATTTATAAAAATTTATAGTGATGATGTAATAGCAATAAAATTAAAATATATACATCTATATATTATTAATTATAATCCAAGTTATATATATATATATTTGAATGTAAAAATAATATGAACATCGATATATAATAATCTACTTTTATACTTTAATTGCATTTCTCATTCTTTTTGATTTACAATTTATTTATAACTTTATTATATCAAAAATATAAATTTTAAATACTTGTTTGATTTTGATTTTATAATTTTACTACAATGCATCTAACGTTAAGTATATGATTAATTTTAATCTACATAACATATATTGATGTAAATTAATTCGCAGCATATATTTAATAAATAAGCAATCGCACAACATATATGAGAAATATATTAAAATTTTTTAAAAAAATATTAAAATATTTATTGTATCTTCTTTCTGATTTTATTGTATCAAAGTCCATATTTAATTTTATCTTAAATGTGATTGTTCATTATTACATATTTTTCAAAAGTGTATAGAACATATATTTAATGATATTATTAGATTTGTGATACTAAAAGAATGGATACTAAAAGAAGATAAAACCAAGAAATATTTAAAACACTATTTATTTAATATTTTAAATTCAATTTATCAAAATTTACATTTATATTAAGTGTTCTATTTCCAGAAGAATAACAGAATAATTCTGAAAGATTAAAAAAAGTGAAGAAAATTGTTACATTCAAAATATATTTGGAACTATGCAAAAAAAGAAAAAATATTGCATTAATGTAAATTAATGAATTTAATATATTAAAAGCTAAAAATGCTAAAAAATTATCTGATATTGACAAACTTTTAAAAAAACATTATTATGATAATTGATAAAATAGTAGTGATTTAGTATAATATATAATATTATAAAAATATAAATTATATTATAAAATATTATAAATTATAAAAATATAATTGAACAGTTAAATTATAGATTTCATGATTTTGAAGATGAACAATATATACGGATAGAAACCGGACAAATATCAAACTTTCTAACTCTTCCAAATTTTTGTACAAATTAATATTTAGTGTTGAAAAAAATATATTTTTTTGAATTATTTATATTTTATTGATTTAAATTTTTTTATGTTTTAAATAAATTAATAAAAATAATTAATTCTTATTAATTATTATTATTAATTATTTTCAGAATTCATTTTGTAATAATAAAAGTAATTACATTCAGTTTATTATTAAAAACTGCTCATATCTGAAGGTCATTATCAAAAGTTATCATCTACAAAAATTATCATTAATATTTTCAAAAATAATAAAAATAATATTTTTCAAATTTAATATTTCTTAATATTGATTTCATTCGAATTTATTCGATCCAACACGATATTTGAAATTCGATTATTTTTATAATGATATCACGTATTACACATTACATTTTATGTTTTTCCTTATTTCTTCCAATTAAAAAAAATGAAATCAAATATAATCGTAATGATAGAAATTAGATAAAACTAGCCTTAATTCGCAGTAAATTATTATAAAATATAAATATATTATATGTTATAAAATAAATGATAGAAAATGTTATTAAACAATATTGTATAAGATAAACAAGAAAAAAAAGAATATAAACAAGATAAAAAAGAAAATAATAAGAAAATTTTTAGATAAATACAATAATTATAATAATAAAACAGAAGCTTTCATATTGTATTAGAAGTGCGGTAATCTTGTAACATTCGACAATTGGTAATCACCGACTAGTTCATTATGTCTGATTATAAGAGAATAAAATCTCTGATATCTGAAATTATAGAAAAACATTGTTATTTGCATTCTATATTTAAAATTACAAAATTGAAAAATAATTAAATAATAAAAAATAATAATTAAATCTTTAAGAGTTCAAGTTTTTTATTTTTGATATTTTAAGGATTTTAAATGAATAAAAAAAATTGTATATTATTTATCCTCAAAAAGTTGTAAATATTATTTATTTATTCTGCATATTTTCAAAGTTTCATAATCTTCTTTTGCGAATTGAGAAATTGTCAATCGCAATAAATTTTTAATTATTATTTACTATATTTTATTATATTGTTATAATTAATAATTTTTGCAATAAATTATCTTTTATTAATGATTTGCTTATCCTTTTCATTTAACATTTACAATCATTAATGCATCAAAGTTTATCACGAAAATAATATGTATTTTGAATTGTTAAATTTTATAATAAAATTTTTATCAATTAAGAAATAATAATATAATATGTTAATTTTTTAATTAATTTATGAAGAAAAAATTATTCAATAAATTTATATATTATTCATAAAAATGCAATATGGTTACATATCAATCGATATTATTACAATGGTATAGAATCAATGATATATAAAGTTGAAGTTCCATAATGAATCTTGCAAATGAGTGGGCTTTGGTTGACCCACGTCTTGCGATACCAAAGACGGCAAGGACAGTGGAACAGTGTTGATGATGTCATCTTTCACTGACAATACTAATTAATATTAAATTCAAAATGAAAATACACTTCCGGACAAAATAATAAATATATTCTATAATTTTCAATGTTTTTAATGCAATTTATCAAAATTTTATACTCAATTTATATTCATATAAAGTATTTTTTGTTTAATAATGCAGAAAAATTCAACTTTTAAATTTAATTGATTTATAAAATAAGTGTAACAAAATGATAGCATATATATGAAAAATAAATTAACAAAGTTTTTTGCTTAAAAATAAAATAATCTTTTATGTATTTTATATAAATTATATATCTTATATGTGCTAAATTTAAATTCAGTCGTAAAAATTATCTATCATATTTACAGATTTAGGAAATAAACAAATAAAAAAATTACCGAATTTTATTATATTTATAAGATTATTCTATATAAAGAAAAATAATTTTTTTCAATATTTTTGTCAATTATTTTATATTATCTTTTGCTTCTCAAATTTGATTTATTATTATAAGATTCTTTTTAAAATATATTATTTTGAAATTCTTCCATTTTTAACTTTTTTTAACTTATTCATGATAAAAAGAAAGAAGATTCTTTAATTTTTTTATAAATAGAAAATTTATAAAATGAAAATTTGTAAATTATTTTTCAATAAGTTTTTACTTATATGCATTAAAAATAGAATAATTTCAAAACAGTATATCTCAAAAAAGAATTTTGATGAAAAATCAAATTTGATTCATCGCAAAGAATATTATAATGATACTATAATGATTATGAATATAAATACAAAAATTGATAATTTTTATAACATTTACTGTTAAGACTCGAGCTTGTGAAGTGGTCGGATCCGATTTTTATTTCCAACAGTTCAAATATCTGCCAATAGCAGTAATGTTATGAGCGGTTTTCGTAACATTTTCCAGATTTTGGTTTAAGCAGATGTCACAGCCACTTCACAAGTTACATTTGCATGCCACGTGATGGATCACTGTGGAAGCGAACGCAAAGATCCTGACTCTCATGCGCTGCAACTCCGCGAGGGCCCATCCTTCGAAATCATCCTCCAACGCGACGATTGGTTCCTCCAACTCCTCCCTGTGTGCATTTTCATGAAAAGGCAAGGATTGGAGGAAAAACCAAGATTCGCGAACAGTCTTGCAGTTGAATTAGAATAAATATAGAAGATAGACAGATAGATTTCATACGGTTTACATCAAAATACAGTTAGAATCACATAGCAGCAAAGAGTTAAAGTACCACTATACGTTTATTCACAATTTATAAGATAAACGATTATACAGTTCCTATGGTAATAGGTGGTCTTTCGAGCAGTAATATCAGTTTTAGGCACCACATTTGTGCAATATTCAAAGTCGTTCATGCTTACGAATTTATTAATATTTCCTACCTAAATGTAGTGTGATAGACAACTTTTATAGTTGGATTCAGTTTTAGCACACGATAATATATAACATAAACCATTTTCAAACAACAAAACTTGATCTGTTTTTTCATATCTATGATATAATTTTTCATATAAGCGAATAAAATTTGTAAACAAATGTGTTGATTTTTTTTTTATATTGTTAAATAGAAGATACTTTATATGGGTATATAAAATTTGGATGAATTGCATTAGAAACATTGAAAATCATATGTACTATGTTCATTTTGTCTAGAAATATAATATCATAAGATTACGTCAATATTTGATAATATAGCAAGTTCCAATTTACATTATATTTTAAATAAATTATATTCATTTCAATTTTTAAAAAAGCATAAAGTCTCACAAAACATTCTTAAATGTATTTTTTAATCTTTTTTTCTCTCTATTTTAATAATTTCATTATAATTTTTCATTTGAATTATTTAAATATATTAAATTAATCATTTGTATATATTAATATAAATTCTCTTATTTATGTAAAAAAAAGCTAAATTGTTACATTAATTATTATTTAATTTAATTTACGTGCTAGATACAATTTGGTTGATAAAGCTTTTATATTGAGTAACACGAGTATAAGCATCAGGATATCCTTGAGCACATGGAATGACCCAGGAAGCGATACCTATAAGTTGACCATTATAAACAAGAGGACCTCCACTGTCACCCTATAAGAAGAAAAAAAAATGTTTTTCAAGATAGATTTGAAAGACAATTATTATAATCAAGTTTTCAAATTAAAATTGACATGTACATATTAAAATAATATTGATATTAATTTCAAGAACATAAATTTAAATTGTTACTAACCATGCAGATACCAACATTTTTTCTTTTAAAAGTACACAATTGTCCATTGTAGATATGATAATTTGGAATGCGTTTCTGACATTCTTCATTACTTATAAGATAAACATTTGTTGTTTGAAGAATTTCAGGAAGATTTCCATTTGTACTGGTACGTCCCCAACCAGATATTATTAATGTTGTACCAACTAGTGGATCAGAAGAAGCTGGAGAAATTGGTTTTTGGTATATATTTGATTTAACTGTATCGGTAAGCTACAAAAAAAAATTAAGAAAAATCATTAGTTGTTAATACTTTTGTTATTAAGAAAAATAGTTTTTGCTGAAAATTTTTTCTTTTTTAAATATGTTATGTTTTATGAAATTTATTATTAATATGTTTATGTAAAAGAAAAAGAATAAGATTAATAATCACTGATGAAAATTGATGCAGTCTCAATAAAAATATAAAAGAAATAAATATACATAAAAAACAAAAATGGCAAGTTTCAAATATAATTATAATTTGAAACTTAAATATTTGAAAAAGATAGTTATAATATTAATATTTCTTGAATCGATTTATATTTAAAAATTTTCCTATTTTTGATATATAATTCATTTTAATAAAATTAAAATATAAAAAATTATGTGATTAATTCTTAGATCTGTGTTTAAATTTATATTTACACAATATAATATATTATTTTCATAATTAAAATTTTATTGTATTCTAACTATCTAATTACTAAACTATTTAAATTTTTTTAATTTTGAAATTAAAATTTTATTATTTTTATATAAAATAATATTATTTTTACTTAAAATTTTATTTTATCTATATACAAAAATACTTAAAAATTTTAATTTTTGATAAAATTATTTTATGATTAACTTTTACGTTTTTATTTATTAATAAGTATTTTTGATGTCGTAATTTTCAATATCATTAAAGTGATATCAAATTTAATATCTGCTTTATTCTTAATCAATAATATTTTATATTATTATATTATATTATATTATTTTATTTCACTACACTATAACTACAACAAATATGTATATTTACCGTAACTACAGCAATGTCATTTCTGTAAGATTCAGAAGAGCTAGGTTTAAAATCGGGATTGACAGTGGCTTTAGCAACACGATGACTTTGGCCTCCATTTATATTACTGATTGTACCAGTCACAACAGTGAAATCATTATATGGTGCAGATACAATACCATGGATACAGTGAGCAGCAGTGACAACGTGTCGTTCGGTAATCAAAGTACCACCACAAAAATGACGTCCAGATTTTCTAAGTGATACTTGATAAGGAAATTGACCGGGAGAAGCATTGGTACCACCGACGATTTTTTCCAAATCCTTCGCGAATATACCTGCACAAATAACATAATAGATTTAAATTTCGCAGACTTTTCACTGATTTCGATAATTTATTGAAATATATTGAAATATAGATAATATTTTTGATAACTTTTTCTATTTATATATATATGTATTCCTATACGTTTAAATAAAATTCAATAGTATATAATATCAAATATTTTTTACATAATATTAAATATATATATATATATATACATATCAATAGATTGATCCGAATTTTGTTTTTTATTAGATAATGTAAAATATCAAATTTAAATTTTTAAATGAATTAATAATATATAATATATAATAATAATTATTATATAGAAAATATAAAGAATATTCAATCTACGAAAAAATAAAAGAATATAATTATTTTAATTATTTTTATATATAACAATATATGTGAAAAATTTTTTTCATTAATATAATATAAAATTAAATATATATTATAATTGAAGAATATCATTTTTAAGAAAACTGAACAGATATTTATTCAATTTATTAATATTTATTATTTATTATTTATTATTTACTTTACTACTATCAAATATTTATTATTTACTTACCATTGAATATTATATTAACAAAAAAAATAAAAGTTAAAGCGAAATGCGCCATAGTGAGTAAAAGAGTTTTGAAACTAATATACTCAATATGAATGAAAGAACTTCTTTTATACGAATTTCAATGTTTTAAAATAATCTTGATAACTGTTATCTACAACAATCTACGATAATCTGTAATAGTCATGTGCAATTTATGAAAAGTGTAGATAAATGAAATACATTATAGATTTTTCAATGAATCTTTTATATTTATTCATTTTGATGTGAATTTCAGATGTGAATTTAATCACTGGTGATTAAATTGTTTTGCAAATCAATTATATCTTCAATGTACAAAAATTATAATATTTAATAGAAGATAATTATAAATTTTAAAAATGATTTGAATGTTTTGTAAATACAATTATTTTTTTTCATTTTATGCATAATAATAATAATAATAAAATAATTTAAAAATATAAAATTTTCTAACATAACTATATAAATAGATAAAAATATATCATTTTGAAATAAATGATATTAAGAAACAAATGTGGAATTTATGTTATATATTTCTTTAAAAATTTTTTTTAAAAATATATATATATAAATTTTGTAAAAATTTTTATTGATGATAAAATCTAAAATTGATAAATTTCCAGTATTTTTTTATTTTTTATATATTTTTTAACGTCAAAAATTATAAAGATAAGGCAATCAATAAGATAAATGAAGTACTTTTCATTCTAAAAAAAATGATAACGTTGTAAAAGCTAAAGATTCATGTATAATGTTTAAAAAATAAAAAAAAATTGAAATTGTTTAATGAAAATTCCTATATTTTTCAAAAATTTTTTATTTTTAAAATCAATACAAAAAATATTTTTTTAATTTTCAGCACAGATAAAATTTTTCTTATAATCAGAAAATATTCAAATCAATAATCACGAATGGTTATAAAAATATTCAATAGTTAACAATTAGATAATTTAATAGCATTTCATGTATTTATTGTTTTTTACTTTCCAGTTTATATATTTCTTTACATATTTCTATTGTATTTAATATTTTTTTATTTTCAAAACATTAGATTTTCATTGTAATGTAATGAATATTTAGAATAATAAATATTTATCAAAAATAAATTTTCGTTAATTTCATATTCAATGATATTTTATTTCATACATTTATATTTTTATTTCAATATTTATTAACTAATAACTACATTTACTAACTAAAATATTTAAATCTATATGTATTCTATTATGTATTCTTTGTTATTTAAAAAATTAAATTAAAATTTAAAAAAGTTTTTCGAAGCAATTAATTTGAAGTAATTTTTTCATAAAGAATATATGAAAATTTTGTTTTTTTAAATGGAATTACATATTCTGAATACAATGATCAATGTAATTAATTGTTTACAGAAAATAGCTATTGAACTACCATATAATAAATACCATGTAATAAAAAAAATATAATAAAAGATATAATAAAAAAAATCATTAGTTTTGTAAATATTTTAACTTAAATTCTGTAAAATTTACTTATAAAAAACAAGAAATATATGAAACAATACTAACTTGTTCATGTTTTTTTTTTATATATATCTTGTAGGAATAATATATATATAATTTATATATTCTTATTTTTTTACATATGTGTCTTTAATAAATTGTATTTCATCCGTGTTATCCGTGTATTTTTGAAAGATATACATATATAAATAATTATGTACATTTGAAAATTATAATCTCTAATTTATAGATACAATATATTTTCATTCTAAAAAAATTTATATATTTGATGAAATTAAATTTAAGATATGTTAAGGAAAGTCAATTCTAGATATCAAAATAAACATAATATATTAACTATTTGTAAATAAATTATAAACTGTATACATTTTTTAAACGATTAATATGTCATATTTCATATTAATACACTATTTAAAACTTTGAATATATATCTTTTTGCATTTTAATTATCCGATATCATTGTTATTTTATATTATCATTGTTATTCAAGTTACAACAATATCAATGAATGAATAAATTGTGTTTGAATAAATTGATTGTCATTCAATCTAAACTTCTTTGGCATCTGTGGTATATGATTCGGTACTTGTTTATTCGTTTGATATCCATCGTCGTATTATTCATCAGATTCGCAGAACTTTGGGATTCGAAGGCACCCCACTGAGGTCGACGTACAATCTACAGATTATATCATTTGATGATGTGTGAAGGTAAGAACTTGCCACTTTCGTTACGATTGTGTCCCGGAATCATTGATTTGTGTTGTATACGCATTCTATAATGTTTTGAAGAAATGAAATCGTGAAATCTTTGCATTGTATTGTTATTTTTCAATCGTTTTCATATACTCCTCGATATAGAATAAAACATCTTTGTTGATAATATTTAATGTTCACGTGCCAGGGAGATATGCTTGAGATATCAGTTGCGATATCAAGAAACTATCATGATGGTATTGTTGTACTTTATAATACGATTAATGCAGAATTATAGGAATTATCGATTCTGTGGGAATAGTTCAAATAATAATGTTTTAAAAATGGAAAAAATGGAATTCCAGTGAAAATATGAAATTTCAATAATTTGAATATTTAATCTTTTCAGTATTATAGTTATTGCTGCATTTTATAATAGAATGAATTTTTTTATTATTATACAATTATACATTGTTATATTAATATAATTATTATATTTTTACTGTTGAAGTTTTCAAATATAAATTATATAATTTTGAAAGAAAAATGAAACATATCTTTTTATTATCGATGAAGTAAGCAGGTAAATCTTTTATGTTTTTACATTATTATATTAATCTTTCAATTTTGTATTATATTATTATATTATTTGTTATTCTTATTATTATTCTTATTATTAGTATTATTATATTCGACATATATATTAAATAAAATAATATAATTAATGTAATCTTCAAAACGTGAATATAGCATCATTATAATGACTTTATTCATGATTGACGAATATAAGTGTATCTTTGATATAATAGTTTATAAGAGATTAAAACAAAATTTTTTTAATTTATCGTGGCAAAAATGTTTTATTAGAAAATGATTAATAAAAAAATAGATTAATAAAAATATATATGAAAGAAAATTAAAAATATTATTCTAACTTATTAATGATCTACGTATTGAATAAATAGTTAATAATTTAATTATAAATATTGATATTGCATTTTATTTCAAATAGATTTGATACATTTATTTTCTCAATTTATTTTTATTACAAATTTTTATCAAAATAATTATATTATTTTAATTAAAAATATAGTTTGTAAATATAAATAAATATAACAAATTTTATGAATATATAGATAATTTTATATAAAAAAATAGTAAAAAATAATAAAAAAATTTGATATTATTTTCGAAATCTTATGAGAAACAGATTTATTTTTAAAAAATAATAAAAATAAAATTATATAAACAAATAAAACAAAGTATAATTATTTTGTTGTTTTACAATTTATTTTTACTAAAATTATTCTGATTTGCCTAAATAAAAAAAAGAAAAAATATAACATAAATTTCTCGCATTATTCTCGTATCTAATCGTTTATTTCATTAATCATCAGAATTCTCTTTTTTTTTTAATTGCATCAGAATTTCTTGAACATGATAGTCTGAATGAAAATGAATTCCGTTTGTTCTATAAAAGATATTTCAGAATCTATGTATGTTTCAATCATAAAAGATTTTGTAAATAGTGAAATAAAGTTATATCTTGGAGTTGTATATAGAATCACACAGAAGTGAAATATTTAGATATTATTTAGATATTTAGTTTTTTTAAATTATTTTTAATAATAAATAGTTGTTATTATTTTTAATAATAGTTGTGAAGAATAAAATATGGTTAATTCAAATTATGCTAAATAGTTATACTTGTTTTATTAATGAACATAATAATAAAGAGAATATTATCGAATTGTATAGTTAAAAACTTCTATTTAAATCTAAAAAGAAAAGTCAAAAATTCTAATATGTACTTGTAGATTCACGTACATTTGTGATGTTTATTGTGATTATTATATATATGTTTTTGTTGTGATATATGATTTTGTTTGTTTCATAAGCTATTTCAATATTTTATAATTTGAAGAATAATAAAGTCTTCATTAACCGGAAAATATGATTAATTCAAATTGTATATATCATTATTTATATAAAATTAAATGTCTTTATTTCTACTATTGAATAATTAACTTTTTCAAAATATTAAATATATATATATATATATATATGAATTTATTTGATATTGTTTTATTAAATATATTAGAAATTATAATTTAAGGAAATTATTATAAAAGATTTATAACAAATCTTTTATTATAAAAGATAACATAACAAGAATTTATAACTTTTTCAAATTTTAAATATATACACAAGTTTATAATTTGATAATTAT